ACTGTGGTTCAGCAACGGCCGTTCCAGTCAAAGTTGTCACTACATTCCAATTTCGGACAGCAACTCTTTCTCCGACACCGATCGCAACTTCCGTCGCACCATCAGCTGATGACTCCTTCAAATGTCTCATTGGGTCCTCCCCACAGCAGTCTGGACAGCAAGTTTTGTCACAGCCTCAGCTTCAGCAGTACAGCACTCGACCAAATTATCCTCCATCCCAATCACACTCGCAGTACTCTCAAATCCCTGCACCCCAGCCGTGTTCGACGCAACGTTGTTCTTTTTTGCTGTCGTCGTAATTTTTCCATACTGCGGCAATGCTTATCCTTTTTTGCTCAGGCACTCCTTCGTATCAGAGAACTCCGGACAGTTATCGTCCTCTAACAACACAACCTTCATTTTCACAGCATTACGATTACAGCTAACGGTCTGCGTTAATTATTTCTCTTATTTCTTGCTATTCTTTACTTTTTCTTTTAGTTATCACTTACGATGAGTTTCGAGCGCTTTTACAAATCATAGGCAAAAACTTTAGCATTATGGACAATCGGGGTGTCTTTCTGGTTACTCTCCAGTTGAAAACGGCATCTCTCCACAGCGGTCATTTACTTATCCCCAGGCACACCGACGACAAATTGCTTAAGTTTTTTCCCCTTCTTTCTTTGTTTTCTGACTTGATAATTCTTAATTTGATTTAGCAACATGGAAAAGCGAGTAAGAAGCGGGGTTCTTCTTCCACGAGGACGCGATCCTCAGTCTCGAAAACTCAGTTTTAAACCCTTTCTGACAGTCGGATGCTAAAGTTTTGCTTTAACTCTCGTAACATTTCATAATGCGCTTTTTCTAATAAATAATGGCTACATTCCGTGATTCTGGTCCAAGAATTGTAAAAAGTTCTAATCTAATCATCACAGAAATTTCCTGTTTCACATTTTCCGCGTTTCTTGACCGTTTTTAGTTTACTCAACGAGCTTTTAATTATAGCTGTCAGATGCGTAAATAGACCCTAACAATTGACTTGTGAGGTTACCAAGTTGTTCGGAAACTTTTAGAAAATACTTACTTATTTGCAATTTTTTAGAAAGACACGGTTTGTGACTTAGCTGTACTTTTTTTCTTGAACCTGCTAGATCCAACAATTAAAACGTTTGAAAACTAATGTGAACTCAGATTTTAAAATCATTTTTGGGAAGTTTTCTTTTCATAATTTTTATGAAAAACTGTTCTTTATAAAAGCAGTGCAACTGTGAGCGTTGCTGTACACTAGAGGTACTTTGAGGAGAGTAGCAAGTAGCCTCTATTAAACCTAACAGTATAAAGTTAAAAAAAGTAGCTACTGTTTACTACACTTCTTATAACTGAATGAAAGATTTTTTGAGGTGCAATAAGAATTAGAACAAAAAGTTAGCACTACACCATTAGAGATTTAGTAAAAAATGCAGGACAAGTTTGAAGTTTCATGGACAAATCAAGCTGGGTAAAGTTTACATTGAAAAAAGAGGGTGATTCAGTGATAAATGCACGTATCAGAGCGGACACGCTCGACAGAATCAGCGCCTTTCTTGGTTTTAAAATGATTTGAGGAAGAGCTTTCAGCATTCTGGATATGATCATCTACCCGAAGTAGAACAAATGCCGATCTCGCCTAGTCATTAGCAATTTTACTTCTTTAATGTTACCAGTTTTTCGATAAATCAGGATGCTGGCAATTCTTCGTGATTAGATATTCTTCACTGTGCAACAAAACTGTTTTTGTATGCAACAATTTTTTTCTCAAAATTTCGGTTGCTTTGCAAATAAAATGTTTTTTCATTTGGAAAGTTGGTAAGGCACAGTTTTCGTGCTAATTGTTTTAACTTCTGACTTTTGTAAGAGCAGTTAATAAAAGGTGTAAAGCACATGATGCATTTTGCGCAGTTTTCTGTTCTTGTAGAGAAGTTGGTGAACCACTACGGTCCCATCCATTGTGATCAGTTTCTGAGCGTGAGTTTTTTTCGTTCTGGCACTTAAGATCGTTATGGAAACGCTGTGTAAGTAATCAACTTCTGAGTGACTTGTAGACTTTTCTTCCCTACTGTTAAATTCTCTGCGTGGTTTTGAAAACATCTTCCTTGCTTGATTACTTTTGAGTACTTGGTCTGTTTGGTAGTGCCACGCAAGCGCTAAATGACGTGAAGGTCTTTCAAAGTGCTCATCATTGGCTGCTGGCTTGAAGTGCTGTGCAATAGACGCTGATTAGGTGTTTCCTCTTTATACGAAGGAGTAAAAGTTTTCGTAAGCGATCACTGGAACCACAACTTTGATGGCAGTTGTATTAATATTAGCCAAGACTTGAAAGAATGAGCTGCCAAGCTGAGGCCCGTACGCAGACTTAAAAACTGCGACAAAAAAGATTTTTGGCATGCTTTTCGCTGTGTTTACTTCATATTTCACTAAGAAAAGCAGGCCAAAAATCGAGAGCTCTTCCTTGTCGTTCCCTCCCTACATTTCAGTCTAGAGGCTTGGAGCTGATTTCCATGTTGTAATGATCAAATGGTTTCCCTGAACGTGCTTAATTGAACGATTTGTAGAAAAGAAGGTAACTGCATTATTAACATCGTCGCTATTGACGAAACAACAGTCGTGAAGCGACAGCATTGAGGAACAGTTTGATGCGGGAGTGAAAAACAACTAAATCTAAAAACAGTTTGGCAGAATCGGCCTAAAAAACAGAACAGTGCTTTTTAAAAAGGAAGATTAACAATTGTCGGGCTAGTTTTTTTGACTGGTGCTTCAAGAATGATTTGAGTTTGTTTAGCAAAACTACTTTTCATACTGAAGCATTCAACATAGGCGGCCTAACGCTGTTTTCCGTCTATAGGTTTGCCTTATTTTT